GAATCACTTGCGTCCTCTCGTCCTGCGGTGTTTTGCTAACAGCTGCTGGCTCGTATTTAATCCCGTGTGACCTTCTTAAAGAAGAACATACTTGGACACGTGACGTCTCTGCTGCTTTCACGCTTCATCACTGTTTCTGTGGTGTCTTCCCTTTGCCCCTGTGCCCCACCTGTGCTGCCACATCTTTGTCTTTATCAATATTATTGCTTTTAATTATTACTCAGTGCCACTCCACACTGTCCCAGTCTGATTCCCACAGTGGCCCTCCTGGAAACGAGGAAGCCAAATGAATGGACCAAGGCATCTGCTGGGTGGGGGGTGGCACGCTTCTTCCTATTGGCTGTCGCTCAAAGACAGGAAATCTGAACCTCAGGTGGGTGGTGCAGTTAATTACGTTCTAATTTCTATCATGATTTTGTCTTTCAATTATTAATGAAATGGATTAACTGGGATCGTTTTTGTTTTTTTTACTTCACCATTAAGCTCTGGTTTGGTCTCCTTTTCACCTGCAACCCCCGTGACCCCCCGTGACCCCCCGTGACCCCCTGTGACCCCGTGTGAACCCTGCAAAAATGTGTCACATTCATGAATGAACGATTAACCACAATAACTGTGATGCATAGTTGCATGTAGTTGTTATTATCGTTGTTATTACACATGAAGAGTGTTTAGGAGCTCCTTAATAAACGGCTGACAGCCGTGAGCTCCGTGTGCAGCGGTCAGGACGTCTGTGGCTGATATTTAAACGAGCGGGCTGCAGACGGCGTTATCCTGGGATGGATTTCACCTCCTCGGCCAGCAGCCAGACCTCCGTGACATTCCTAAACTCGTGTCAGCAGCTCACCCCCTCCTCTGCTGGCCAAATATATAGAAGGATAGACTCTCTATGACATCATACAGATCAAAAAGCAGAAAAAACTGTGATAAACTGAGGGTTCAGTTTGGCTCAGAGATGACTGTTTATAGACTGAGCTCATTGTTAGAAACTTGGACATGTTTAACATGAAAAGACACCACATGACAGGAAGTGAGGAGAATAAATGCTACAGGAAGCGTTTTGGTCGTACAGTTCGGTGTCACGGTGACTCCCTCGACTGGGAGCCAGAATTCTGCACACTCTTGCAGCTTTAATGGATTTGGAGTAAATGCAGTTTCTTACATGATCATTGGTCTCCTGGAAGAACGGCCACACGGATCATTTTACTGAAGCTTCTTATCAAACTCTTTGTTTGATTTGGAGCTGCTTGTACCCTGAAGTGTCCCGGTACGTCTTCAGAGTCACGGTGAGTGTTGAGGGCAGAGACCATCTGCTTGTCTCAGGTGCACCTCCCTGAGTTTGGCTCCGTGACGCCGTGATGCCTCCCGGCTCGTCTGTCAGTCAGCGGTTAAAAACCGGAGTGGCTTAAAACAGAGCGTTAAGCTGAGAGGCCGAGCGGTAATGGAGCCGTTTCGTCTCCTATCAGCGTTTACGGCTCCGTGGAGCACCTGGATTTGGGAACCATTAGAGCTCTGTGATGGGAACCACTTCCAGGGCAACGCTGTCGGGACCACCGACAGCCTGTTACACCTGCTGTGGCCACTATGTGGTGTTAGAGAGCACCTGGTAATGTTGCTGTATGTCACGTGTTTATCAACTAATGCTGAGTACATGCACACAGTAGACATCTCCACCCCTGACGTACGGCTGAGGTCAGAAGCTCACTGCAGGCGTGACTGACTTCAGTGAATGAATTGTGTGAATCTGTCTCATCCACCAAATATACACTTAAATCTGTCATCAGTGATCGTGGTGCAGCACACGCTGTGGGAGGACTCAACACACACAGAACAAAGCAAAAGTCCAGCATCGCAGCAGAACGGGACAAAGTACAAAACATGATGTTTCTGCTGCCATCAGGTGGCGCCATGCCTACAGCTACCGGACTGGCGTATGTGCGTGGACACCACGTTCAAGATTAGTGACAAACATGGCCTACAATGGGGACTTCCTGTTGGGGTCCCATCTTTGATGGATCAAAGTTTAACTTTAGCTCTATGATGAAGATTTTCAGCATCAGGTGTCCGATTCGTTTCCAGGTGGCTGTGGAGTGCTGTGAGCACTCATACATCGAGTACCGCTGCTCTGTGTGGAAAGTTATTCTCTGAAAGTGTCATTTTCTCCTGCGGCGCCCGATGCTACGTCTCTGCCAGCTGGCTTCCTCCCGTCACAGCGAGCAGCAATGGCGGCCGGCCTCTTTAATCAGGGCCGCAGCTCATTAAGAGCCTTGCTCCTGGCTCCCTGCAGGCCTGCTGGGCATCTTTACAGCAGGAAACACGACTCCAGCAGCCGCTGACTGACAGCAGCCGGGCGCAGCTCGCTGACGGAGGCGAGAATGCCACCGACGGCGGAGACGTGAGACGAGCCGTGAGGCACGTCAGCGAGCTGCAGAGACATTATACCTGAACTCAGCTGAAATAAAGAGTGCTGTGCAAAAGTCTCGAGCCAGCCCTCATTTCTTTACACTTCCTGGAGTCGGACTCTCCTGCAGCCGCTCTCGGGCCTGCTGAGGCGACGTGTGAATGTTATAATCAGAGACAAATCTCACGTTTGAAGAAGTTCATGAAAAGCCTTCAAAATTAAAATCCTGAATATTTGCTGAGATGAAAACTTTTAGATATGTTTCTGTTTGCTCTGTGAGGATCTGCAGAGTGAGAAAACTATTCTTTCTTTAGTCCACGCCTGAGTTTAACCTCCTGTGCTGACGGGCTGCAGGCGGCGCCGCTGCTCGCCGTCTGCGTGCGAGTCTTTGATGTGGACGCTTAGCTCGTTAGGCCTCGTTTCCGACTGAACGGCCGTCATGGCAACAGCCACTGTGGGCCCAACAATGAGCCGACGGCGAGTTAACGGCTCTGCTTCTATTATCGGGCCCGAGGTCATCACCACAGTGCAGACGTGTTCTCTCAACCGGCTTTGTGAGAAGAGTGGGAAAAGACAGGGGTCAGAGTTCAGAGGTCGGTGTCTCAGAGGAGGGACGTGAGTGTCTGTGTCACTTTCTCTCAGCAACATCTGGATGGAGCACATAAATCAGTCCGCGGGCCCGGCAGGCGTCTGCGTGGAGCTACACCCACTCTGAGCAGAAACCCACGCCTGTAAAACGGGTCACATGTTAGGGGTATGTTTGACACTCGGCGATGGCGCTCCTGGGAAACCTCAGCGCTGTTCCACGTGTGGCTCTCTCCGTGGTTCACCGCAGTCCCGAAGCCTTTGTCTCTGTGACCTTTCGGGCTGATGATGTCACTGACTTTGTTAGATGGTGGCGTGAGGCTGTTTGACATCTGTCAGTGATCTGAGTGCGGCAGTGAAACTGAACTCAGCTCTTTGTGATTAATCACAGTGATTTCATGATTTCATACTGACTCCCGCACGCAGGGCCGTGAGGTTTGGAGCACTTTTAAATAAAGGACACTCTTTAGTATTAACATCAGGACGGGGGCACAGCGCTGTCAGTGCGCACTGCAGCAGTGGTGTGAGGAAGATGGAGGGTAGCAATGACGTCACAGTGCGAAGATTTCTGTCAGCTGTCGATAAACCGAACGTGCTCTTACACCGTGCACAAGACAGGCTGAAATATCAGGGATTATGGAAGGTGGTGCACGTGTCCATCGCTGTGTCGTCCACTTTGTTTTAAACTTATCTGAACATCACTGCGATGACCAGCAGCAGCGACACTACGATGAAATGTTTTTTTTTCAGCTTGCAGCCAATCAGAAGCCTAAAAATACAGCTGACATCATCAAAGGAGACAGCGGTGCATGCCTTCATACTGAGCACACAGCGGTGTGGTGGAAGCCATCTGCACACAACCTCAAAAATAACTACTCATTCTTTCAAAGCAGCTCATTGCACATTTCCTTATATGGTCATCTGTTCCAAGCTCCGTGCCCCGCCCCTTAGCAGGGTTCCAGAAGTTGAACGTCACACCCCTGAGGTGTTTCTGTGACGCATCACGTGATCCTCTCGCTGCTCGCCTAGCCCCGCCCCTTGTTCAGTCACAGCTAATTTCACTCCGAGGGTTTGTTATTAGTGTCGAGCGTGTCCTCCGCCAGCCCGCTCATTTACTGCTTATCGCTTACACAAACGCCGCCTTATTAAAGCAGATAATGAGTTTAACGCCATGAGCCGGCCAATGGAGCGGAAGCTAATGAAGACATTTATGAGGGTGAAAGAGAGTGAGAGGGTGAGGCGTGTCTGACAGAGCCGGCGCTATCGCCTTCCTTTAAACGACTTCTGTCCCGGTCCGTCAGCGCCACGTTCACAACGGCCCTCCAACGCCAGCAAACCGCTACAGCGTTAGCGATGCACAACAAACCAGTTTATAAGATCAAATGAAGGAGGGTGTTTGGACCGAAGCTCTCTGAGAGAAAATGGAGGAACAGAGTTCAAACAGGTCATATCGAGACATTTTTATTGGGTGAAAACACAGGTACTCTCCAGCTCTGCTCCAGGTAAAAGCCACCTGTCGGGACTAACCGTGGTCACGCGATGCGGGTGTTTTGAGCACAGTCTGGAAGCATCTGCACTTCCTGCATCGACACGTCAGTACTGAGCATCCGATGCCTAGTTCCTGGAATTCTACACCTCTGGATTATTTTGCCTTTGGTTCCTTTAAAGGACGGGTGGGGAACTCCACCCTGCAGGTTTTAGATCTCAACCTCGGTCAGCACACCTGAATCGCATGATTAGTTCATTACCAGGCCTCTGGAGAACTCTGAGACATGTTGAGGAGGTCATTTAGCCACATGCAGGACACCGGCCCTCGAGGCCTGGAGTTCCCCACCCCTGCTTTAAAGCAGCAAAAGTCAAAGTGATTCAACACGGTGGGACACATGCATCCTGGTGAAACTCCACACACTTAATCCCTGAGATATGTGAATAAGAAGATTTTCTACATGAAGAGAAAGAAATGTGTAAAATCAGAGCGGTTCTGTGGCTCGCTGCTCAGATTGAATATTTCTGTTGATTCACAGAAAACGTCTGTTTTTATTTTTCTATAAAAACACATTATTACAGTCGAGAGTGAAAAAAATGTAATTCTTTATCTGTTCTTCATCACTTGAGGCAGGTCTTCATCAGCAAACTTCATGTCGTCCTTGGATCTTTGCAAGGCCGATTCTGGCCCGCGGGCCTTATGTTTGACACCTCTGCTTGATGAACCTTGGCTTTAAAATGAGGCCCGCCTTGTGTTCAGGTCTGAGTCTGCTCTTTAAAAGTGACACAGCTCACATCCACCTCCTGCGGCCATCTTTGCCATCTGTGGCTCCAAGCCCAGAAACCCTGCGTGGCCCAAACGGGGACAGAGCGGGTCACCGGGTTTCAGGCAGGGCGATCAACTTTAAACATGGAGGTCCAAGGCGTCGTGGGAGGAGGACTGAGGCGGCGTCCTGAACTCCAGGTTGAGCTGTCCCTGACTGCGAGAGCGAGACAGCAGGAAGGACGGCAGAGCGTAACGCTGCGTCCGCTGACGGCGAACACACCTCCCGCCTGAAAAGAACAAAACACACGACTGAGGTCAAACTTTGACCGAAGCACAGATCTCTTTTTAAAAATTTTTTTATTTGTGTATATATATTTATTATGTATTCATTTAAACGAGTAGTTTCACTCTAATAGAGCTGTATTGGTATGCATTTACACTGCATATATAATCTTTTTTTAAATAGCATTTTTTTATGTGTCAGTCTCAGATCTCTTTTTTTTTATTTTTTTTTATAAACATTATTGTGCAGCACATAAGATCAACAGAACACAGTGTGCTTTGAGGTAGGAGCCAAAAAGGGTGTAGTTTGTGGGTGTGATCACCCGTGTGTACACCTGTGAGCATGGACGCGCTTGTTTTTTTAAAAGGTTCCTTCATGTAATGATCTGCTAGAGGGTGTGGGGGGGCCACAGCCCCGTCCTCCAGGGCGTGAAGCAGGTATGGAGGAGATCAAGAGACCAAGGAAGACCAACAGAGGGGCAGCTGCGCCACTGTCCCAGAAAGAGCTGAGGAGAGTCCCAGATGAGGGCTCACTCAGCAGCCGCGGAGCAGAAGCCAGGGGGAGTTGCAGTGACGCGCCCGTGAGCTCCGCCGGCAGCCAGCCGTGCCCGAGTGACCGAGCCCCAGGCCGAGAGGCCGGGGGCACCCCACCTCCGAAGTGGCCCGAGCGAGCCCCAGGCTCCAGGCCCCGACAAGCGGCCGCCAAGGAGTGAGCCAGTGTGTACCTGGACGCCCATCCCCGGACACAAAGAACCACCAACGCACCGATGTCTGAGGGGGTCCGCCACTGGCAGGGGAAGTGGTGGTAGGGGGAGATAGGCCTCCAAACCTTGGAGGGCCTGAGATGTCCCCAGAGAGGTGGTGCCTGACACCCAACCTGACCGAAGCACAGATCTAAACCCTCCTGTTATACTGTCTCTGTGATCGAGCAGCAGACGGATCCATCTGCAACCAGAGACACCGAGCTTTGACTGGCTCCGCACACAGAAGAAACTCTCTGTGAGGGGAAATGCACCGACGCCGGCCACTCGCCCACACGGAGAGCGTGAAACAGCCTCCACCTCTGCGACCAGCACGGCCGCTGCAGTCGCTCTCAGATTAGCAAAGGTCTGAAAATATCTTTGCTAATGACACTGAAACAATAATTACTGACTCCACAGACTGTAGGTCATGCTTTTATTGTGAAATACAGATTTGCTTCCTTTGGCGTTATAGAGTTTCCATCTTTATTTTTTAAATGAAAAGAACGACAAAACGCGGTGACTACAGAGAGCAGGAGAGAAAACTTCACTAATGAGTAACAGTTAATAATAATAATCCAGAAGCTTCTGTTCTCTGTGATGACTTTAAAGCTTTTTGGACATTAAATATAAGAATTTTAAATTATAACAAAAAGTCATTTTAAAAACCAAACTGCATTCGATTTCTTCACGTCAGTGTATGGGCCGCATGTTTGGGTAATGTGGGCCACTTGCGGCCCCTGAGCCACGAGTTTGAGAGCCTGGTACAGAGTAACTTCACTGGCACAGATGGGCTTCCATAGCCCATGCAGCATGGTTCTGGTAATGAAAACATTAAAAAAGTGATTCTTATAATAATTGTTGGACAGACCTGACTGAGACTCGGGTTTCTCGAAGATGTCGGCGCTGCCGCTCCAGTACTGAACGGCCGTCTTCCCGTGGTAATCTCTGATGTTGGTTTTAGCATCTGATTAAGACAAAACACGACAGTTTCCTCTGGATTAAAATCATATCGTATTGGCATTGTGTATGGATTCTGTTTGAGTCGATGGAGTCAGACTGACAGGAGTGAACATTCAGAGGTCGTCTTTGCAGGGTTCAAGGAAACGCCGGAAACATATCGAGATGGCGCCGGTGAGGTCGGCTGCCGTCACGACTGCTCCGACCACTTTTTCTTTGTCTTTGTTTTTTAAGTTAGTTTTCAGCGTTTCTAAATCGGCAAAATCATCACCATTGGGTACATTAGGTATGACAGTGACACTCTTGTTTCTATTGGTATACAATGTACTCACAATTCGAAGTTTTTAACTCCGGATCCGAGCTGGCCGAGTGAGATCTCGAGGGAGAACAAAGGGAAGCGGCGGCGGCCTAGAGGGAAGCGAGCCGGCGTCAGGAACAGGCTGAGAGCTCGTGCACACCGCACACCTCTGCCTAGCATCCTGCTCGCCAACGTCCAGTCACTGGAGAACAAGCTTGACGACCTCAGGGGCAGGATAAAGTTCCAGAGAGACATTCGGGACTGCAATCTCCTCTGCTTCACCGAGACATGGCTGAACCCAGCGGTGCCGGACCACGCCATCCAGCCGGCCGAGTTCTTCTCGGTTCACCGCATGGACAGGACACGGGACTCGGGGAAGTCAAGGGGAGGCGGCGTGTGTTTAATGGTGAACAACAACTGGTGCAACAGTGCGAACGTTGTTCCTCTCACACGCTCCTGCACACCAAATCTGGAACTACTGTCCATCATGTGTCGTCCTTTTTATCTACCTCGGGAATTTACATCGGTCATTGTAAGTGCCGTTTATATTCCACCACAAGCGGACACGGTCACCGCCTTATGCGAGCTGCATGAGGCACTCACACAGCACCAGACACAACACCGGGACGCTGCGCTTATTGTGACGGGGGACTTTAATAGCGCCAACCTCAAACGCGCAGCGCCGAACTTTTATCAACACATCACCTGCCCCACCAGGGGTGAAAGGACACTGGACCACTGCTACACTACGGTCAAGGACGGCTACAAGGCACAATCCCGCCCCCGTTTGGCAAATCTGATCACGCCGCCATCTTCCTCATGCCAAAATACAAACAAAGGCTGAAACAAGAACTTCCGGTTCAGAGGAAGGTCGCGCGCTGGACGGATCAATCGGTGGCCGTGTTACAGGATGCACTCGATGACGCAGACTGGGACATGTTCAGAAACAGCTCCGACGATGACGTCAACGTGTTTACGGAAGCGGTTGTGGGATTCATCGGGAAACTAGCGGATGATACCGTGGAGACAAAGACTATCACAACGTTTCCCAACCAGAAGCCGTGGGTGGATAAAACCATCCGCGACGCTCTGAGATCCCGCACCGCTGCCTACAACACGGGACTCATGACGGGGGACATGGACCCGTACAAAGCCGCGTCATATAACGTGCGGAGGGCGGTGAAAGAGGCGAAGCAGCGCTACGGGAGGAAACTAGAGTCACAACTCCAACAGAGTGACTCTAGGAGCCTGTGGCGGGGACTAAGGACAATAACGGACTATAAAGCACCAACAACCGGTATGACGAACGCGGCCGTGACTCTGGCAGACGAGCTGAACACTTTCTATGCTCGCTTCGAGGCTGCAGCTAAGGTCTCCAACAATGCTAGTGTTAGCGGCGCTAACGGCTGCAGACAGGAAGATACTGCCAGCACCGGAAACGTGCTCGTCATCTCCGAGCATGAAGTAAGGAGAGCCTTCAAGAGAGTGAACACCAGGAAAGCAGCAGGACCAGGCGGCATCCCAGGTCGTATCCTAAGAGACTGCGCATACCAGCTAGCTCCTGTGTTCACTGAGATATTCAACATCTCTTTACCTCAGTCGGTGATCCCCACATGCTTCAAAGAGTCCATCATTGTTCCTGTCCCGAAGAAACCCCACCCTGCTTCTCTCAATGACTATCGCCCTGTAGCCCTCACCTCAGTAGTGATGAAGTGCTTTGAACGCCTGGTCAGAGACTTCATCATTTCTTCACTACCAGACACACTGGACCCACTACAGTTCGCTTACCGTCCAAATCGTTCCACAGACGATGCCATCTCTCATCTCCTCCACACATCACTCACTCACTTGGACACTAGAAGGGGGAATTATGTTAAAATGCTCTTCATAGACTACAGCTCTGCATTTAACACCATAATTCCCTCCACACTCACCACCAAGCTGGAGCATCTGGGACTCAGCTCATCTATGTGTCAGTGGATCTCCAACTTCCTAACTGGCAGACCACAGGCAGTAAGGATGGGCGGACATGTCTCAGCCTCCACCACTCTCAGCACTGGAGCCCCCCAGGGGTGTGTTCTGAGCCCCCTGCTGTACTCTTTGTACACATATGACTGTGTGGCCACTACCAGATCCACCACCATCATCAAGTTTGCTGACGACACCGTCGTGGTGGGCCTGATCTCTGATAACAACGAGACGGCCTACCTGAAGGAGATTAGGAATCTGGAGAACTGGTGCCAGAGGAACAACCTCCTTCTAAACGTCAGTAAGACAAAGGAGCTGATAGTGGACTTCAGCACTAAGCAGGAGAGGAACTACCAGACCCCCGTCATCAACGAGTGCCCAGTGGAGAGAGTGGACAGCTTCAAATACCTCGGAGTTCACATCACGCAGGACCTGTCATGGTCCTGTCACATCAACACCGTGGTGAAAAAGGCCCGACAGCGTCTCTACCACCTCAGACGCTTGAGAGACTTCCAACTGCCCTCCAAGGTGCTCAGGAACTTTTACTCCTGCACCATAGAGAGCATCCTGGCGGGAAACATCTTAACCTGGTTCGGGAACAGCACCATGCAGGACAGACGAGCTCTACAGAGGGTTGTGCGGTCAGCTGAGCGCACCATCCGCTCCGAGCTCCCTGACCTGCACTCAATCTACAGCAGGCGGTGCTGGACCAAGGCCAGGAAGATCGTGAAGGACCTCAGCCATCCCAACAACAGACTGTTCTCTCTGTTGAGGTCAGGAAAGCGATTCCGCTCCCTGAAGACCAACACAGAGAGACTGAGGAGGAGCTTCTTCCCGCAGGCGATACGGTCTCTCAATCACACCACCACACAGTACTGACCCACACATATGGTTCTTACACACACACTGGACTTTCTGGACTTTGGTTTTGCACAACACTGGTCACTATATTCTTCATTTCCGGTTAATACTTGTACAGCTGCTGTTATTGTGTATATATTTATTTATATTTAGATTTCTTCATACATTCTTATATAGTTCTATATTGTGTATTTTGTTGTACAGTTATTTTATTTTCAACTTTAATTTATATATTTATCTTTATCTTATTCTTCCCAGTTAAATTTACCCTTCATTCTAATTTGTGTTGTACAGTTATTTCATTTTTAACCTTAATTTATATTTTATTCCTTCCTAGTTAAATTTACCCTTTTTAATTTTTCATATTTATTTCCTATCTTATTCATAGCCTTTTCCTTTTTTGTTCTCTTTAGGTCACGAGCAGTTGTCCAAGCATTTCACTACATATCGTACTGTGTATGACTGTGTACGTGACAAATAAAATTTGAATTTGAATTTGAATTTGAGAGGTACATCTCCATCAGTGAATCCTAAACTCAGGTTTAAATTCACAGGAGGACACTTCAGAGAGTCACGCAGACACAGGAAAGGATGTCAACCTGTATCCCTGCATTTCCTGTCAAGTGAAATGTTCTGTTTAAGCCTTTGTCTTCATATTTACAGCTCGGGGGCGCGGCGGTTTGGCCTGATCTCTAATGAAAGACATCTCAGTTTATTATTGGCTTTTATGTGACAGACTGACAGGAAGCTGTCTGTGTGCTGACGCTGCCCAGCAAGAGATAAAAACTGCTTATTCTGGGGTCATCATTCAGCATTTGTTTCATCAACTAAAAGACAGAAACATGCATCTCTGACAGGAACGTCGCGGATAATAAAGGTTTGTTTTTCCTTCAGTATCTGAATCACTAGGAAATGAGATGTGCAATTCTCTCACAAAGTTTTTCACTTTTAAATGTGACTTCCTCACAGCTCAGAGTCTGTGGGACCCTACATCCACAAAATGGACGGATGGACAGAAGGAGCGAGGGATAGATGTAGGGATGGATGGGTGGATGGATGGATGGATGGTTGGATGGTTGGATGGATGTTTGGATGGATGGTGGATGGACAGATGGATGATGGATGGAGGGATGGATGGATGGATGGATGGATGGATGGTGGATGGGGGGATGGATGGATAGACAGATGGATGGATGATGGATGGATGGATAGATGGACAGATGGATGATGGATGGATGGATGGATGATGGATGGATGGATGGATGGATGGATATTTGGATGGATGATGGATGGATGGACAGATGGATGATGGATGATGGATGGATATTTGGATGGATGATGGATGGATAGATGGACAGATGGATGATGGATGGAGGGATGGATGGATGGTGGATGGGGGGATGGATGGATGGATGGATAGACAGATGGATGGATGATGGATGGATGGATAGATGGACAGATGGATGATGGATGGACGGATGGATGGATGGATGATGGATGGGGGGATGGATGATGGATGGAGGGATGGATGGATGGTGGATGGGGGGATGGATAGATGGATGGATAGACAGATGGATGGATGATGGATGGATGGATAGATGGACAGATGGATGATGGATGGACAGATGGATGATGGATGGACAGATGGATGATGGATGGACGGATGGATGATGGATGGATGGATGGATATTTGGATGGATGATGGATGGATGGACAGATGGATGATGGATGATGGATGGATGGATATTTGGATGGATGATGGATGGATAGATGGACAGATGGATGATGGATGGACAGATGGATATTTGGATGGATGATGGATGGATGGACAGATGGATGATGGATGATGGATGGATAGATGGACAGATGGATGATGGATGGATGGATGGATGGATATTTGGATGGATGATGGATGGATAGATGGACAGATGGATGATGGATGGATGGATGGATGGATATTTGGATGGATGATGGATGGATAGATGGACAGATGGATGATGGATGGATGGATGGATGGATATTTGGATGGATGATGGATGGATAGATGGACAGATGGATGATGGATGGATGGATGGATGGATATTTGGATGGATGATGGATGGATAGATGGACAGATGGATGATGGATGGATGGATATTTGGATGGATGATGGATGGATAGATGGACAGATGGATGATGGATGGATGGATGGATGGATGGATATTTGGATGGATGATGGATGGATAGATGGACAGATGGATGATGGATGGATAGACAGACAGAGAAGAGTAAAGTCTCTGGCTGAAGGTCTTTAGTGAAACATTTTTAAACATGATTTTTCTGAAAGGTGTCTCCAGGAGGAAGCAGTTTGGATCTCTGTGATCTCCACAGATAGGAGGCCTCGGGAAGGCGGTGGGTGATCATTGGAGATTAATAATAACAATAATGGATTGCATTTATATAGCGCTTTTCTAGACACCCAAAGCACTTTACAATTCCACTATTCATTCACTCTCACATTCACACACGCTGTCAGTCATCCTTAAACAGAGAACTGACAGCTCGCTGTGTTCGGGTGTTAAGCTTTCACACGTAAATGGTAAATGGCCTGTATTTGTATAGCGCTTTACTAGTCCCTAAGGACCCCAAAGCGCTTTACACCTCCATTCACGCACACATTCACACACTGGTGATGGCAGCTACATTGTAGCCACAGCCACCCTGGGGCGCACTGACAGAGGCGAGGCTGCCGGACACTGGCGCCACCGGGCCCTCTGACCACCAGCAGTAGGCAACGGGTGAAGTGTCTTGCCCAAGGACACAACAACCGAGACTGTCCGAGCCGGGACTCGAACCGGCAACCTTCGGATTACAAGGCGAACTCCCAACTCTTGAACCACGATTGCCACGTGTTGCCTGTTGAAGTTTCTCGTGTCGCTCACATCTATCACTCTGTTTCCATCCTGACTCTTTAGTCGGAAGTGTTTTTAAAATTGGATTTTGAACAGGGATCAAAACATACATCTTCCCAGAGCTCAGAGTGGAACATTTCATATGTTTAACATCATGTTTCACCCCTCTGGTGTCGCTGAAGCAGAGCCTGGGCAGGCTTCAGCACCAGGGTACCAAACATCAGGTGATGAATGCCCTGTGTGTCGTGTTTGCACCAACGCTCTCCTGCAGGCTTTTTGCTGTGGGATGAATATTCCTGCTGAACTTTACTGTTTGATGCCACATTTAAAACTTGGGGAAGTTCAATCAGGACACATGCGGCTCACGGTGATATCCCTTTTGTGGAGGCTGGAGGCTGAACGCAGCAGCTAATGGTTACCGCTGGTAACCGACTCTGGTCATTACAGACTGTTTAACTCCCACTGTCGCTCCACCCACCGGCCTCAGAAGGAGAAACCAAAGCTCGCCTCCACGGCAGCGAGGAGGCCTTTTCCTGAAACCATATCTGCACTCGGAGCACCAGCTGAGTCCGGCTGCTGTAATTTCCCTGGTTTCCAGCTGCTTTCTGGTGTGATTTTCAGGAGCTCTCACTGACGTCCTGCACAGTTTGGCTTCTGCATCGTCTCAGGAGTCTGTGAACTCTGCATGCTAAAATCGAAAACATGCAAACTCATCGTCTCATCTTCCCTGGCACAGAAACGACAAAGTCCTTAAGGAATCTGGGAGAAGGCTGGAGACCCGTTTATATCCGAGCCACCGGCGTGGGTCAGAAGCTGCAGCAGGTGGAGCTTCACGTGAATACAGTTTGAACTGAAACCGTTTGATTGGCAGCTCAGATCTGCTGATTTCCTGCTGCGTTTTATTTTGGCGGGTTCTCCTCCGTGGCCATATGGAAACATGCTTCGTGTCTGACCCTGCAGACCGTACATGTCGGCGGCCGTTTGCGCGCTCTGACTCACAGCATATGGCAGTCTGTGGCTACAGGGGTTCAAACCGCTGCTCTGCAGGGATCGTCACAAGTCCATCATGAAGCGCCTGGTGGCCTGAAGCGCAGGTGTGCCTCATTAGCTCATTAGCGAACTGCCCGCCTCGCCTCTTCCTGAGGAGGAGGGCGGAGGTGAGCATTTGGACTTGTCAGTCTGAGCGCTGGGTGGGTCTTTTGTCTGGCAGAGGTGATCTGCATCAGTGCTTCTTCACCTCTGCCAGCCTGTGAGGCGTGCAGGAGAACAATCCCTCGCTATTTGATTTGTGGTGTGAATGTCAATTTGAAAACTTCACACGAAGAAAAATCCTCACATGAATCGTGCTTCAGTGGAAAAACAGTCCGGACACGAAGCTGCAGCTTACGGACAGGTCATTGTGATCTTTGGTCTGACTGTTAGCCGCTGCTCTAACTTCTGCTGTTTTAACTTTAATCTGCACATAAACCGACAGACAATTTTAAAAAGTCTGCATGCAGAGCTGGGTGCTGCAATAACGATCTGGGAAAATGAAGCTGAGATGAGATCAGTCTTAGTAAATGTGAAATTTTCATGCTGCTTTTTAATATTCCAAACGATAAACAACGTCTCCTCGTCAGCATCAAGCTCGTCTTCATCAAATATCAGAGACAAGAATGGGGCGGCTGCAGAGTGCAGTGCGACTGTGGCCTTCATCAGTTATTAAAATAATAATGAATTACATTAATGATACTGAACACTGTGATGAAGAGAGGTGGTGAAGGCAGACTCACTCTGAGTGTTGATCAGGGTCTGAACGACGTCCTGGTGTCCGTGAATGGAGGCCAGGTGAAGAGCTGTGTAACCCTGTGAAGATTATCAGCTGTTACCTCATCACTCACAGCTGCAAACACTGAAGCAGCTTCTCGTTAGCTCAGTCGTAGAAGCTATATCACTGTGTAATTGTACACGGTGACTTCACGGACAGGACCTGACAAAGCAAACTACCCGAAACAAACACTAACCTACCACATTTACTCTAAACTACCACAAACAAACACTAAACTACCACATTTACTCTAAACTACCACACAGACCCCAAACTACCGAAAAAAACCCCACTCAACTACCACAAACAAAGGCTAAACGACCACATAGACCCTAAACTACCGAAAAAAAACCCACTCAACTACCACAAACAAAGGCTAAACGACCACATAGACCCTAAACTCCCACAAATAAGCACTAAACTACCGAAAACAAACATATAACCACCACAAACAAACACTAAATTACCCGAAACAAACACTAACCTACCACATTTACGCTAAACTACCACAAAGACCCTGAACTACCACAAATACTAAACTACCACAAAGACCCTAAACTACCACATAGACCCCAAACTACCAGAAAAAACACACCGAACTACCACAAAGGCTAAACCACCACAAAGACCCTAAACTACCACAAAGAAGCACTAAACTACCACAAATAAACACATAACTGCCACAAATAAAAACTAAATTACCACAAAGACTCGAAACTACCACACAGACCCCACACTCCCAGAAAAACCCCACTCAACTATCACAAACAAAGGCTAAACTACCACAAAGACACCAAACTACCACAAACAAACATTAAACTACCACAAAGACCTTAAACTACCACTTTTACTCTAAACTACCACTGACAAACAACCAGAGACACCAACCACCAAAGATGCAACCCCAGCCCCCTCCCCCCAGACAGACTAATTGGTGGATGGATGGATGGATGGATGGATGGATGTTCAGGTGGATGGATGGATGGTTGAATGGATGGATGGATGGATGGATGGATGGATGGATGGATAGATGGATGGATAGATGGATGGATGTTCAGGTGGATGGATGGATGGATGGATGGATGGATGGATGGATGGCTAGATGGATGGATGGATCGATGGTTGGATGGATGGATGGAGGGATGGTGGATGGAGGGATGGATGGCTAGATGGATGGATGGATGGTTGGATGGATGGATGGATGGATGGATGGATGGATGGATGGATGGAGGGATGGTGGATGGATGGATGGATGGAGGGATGGTGGATGGATGGATGGTTGGATGGCTAGATGGATGGATGGTTGGATGGATGGATGGATGGATGGATGGATGGATGGAGGGATGGTGGATGGATGGATGCGCTGTCTTGTTGTGTTCAGGCTGTGTTTGAGCTGTTTACCTGTTACCATGGTTACTTTTCTACGCACTCACATCAATGCGTGAGCACTTCCTGCCATCAGCAATAACAGCAGCTATTGTTCTCGGTTTCTTTGGAGTCAAGAAGAATCTGTGAGCGTGTCAGTCTGAGCGCTCTGATCACTGACAGATGCTTGTCCACGCTGCTTCCTCTGAGCAGCGAGTGTGTAAAGAGGACGTGAGCATCATTTGTACACTTTAACACAACGAATCCCAGAGGAGGAGCTGCTGTCAGTGCCATAGACAAACAGACGCCCTCTTTGCTGTCACGCCGCCATTTAACGTGCGGTCTGTGACAGCAGACAGTCGGCGTTCATTACAAGGACGGGTCTGTAGTTAACGGGCCGTAAACGGGCCTGGAGAACACAGAGACGCCTCGTCGTCACACTCCTGCCGTCCTGTCAGCGCCCTCGCCGCGAGGCGCACGCTTTCCCAGTATCACCTCTAACGATCAGAAGAGGCTCTCTCAGTTTGACTGCTGGATCATGCGCTTCTTTGAACAAACAACAGATAAACACTTATGCGTCACTTTCAGGAAACACGCCATCTGACATTTCGCTGAAAGGTTGAGCTGCTTTTATGTGTTCAGGTGCACTTTGAGCTTCATATCGCAGGTAAAGGCCACCTCAGCAGGAGGTCCTGAGAGCCAAGGAACATCAAGGTGAGGCCTCAGCCTGATCTAAGAAGTGCCAGCGACACCCCAGAGCTGCTCTACGTTTCACTCTCATTAAATGCAACCTGCTAAACCACCTCAGCGCGTATGCTAACCCGTTAACTAACCAGTGTCTGTGAGAGCAGACGGACACATCTGCTCTGAGCTGATTCTATATCTGTGAACAGATCACAGTGAAACACTGCTCTGATGGTGATATCTGTAGCTTAACCACAGTCAGGCAGCTCTTACTGTGACTAACCCGACCCCCACTGTTCCAGCTGTTATCCAGCAGTTACTGGCTGTTATCAGTGGTATTGTTCATCTACAATTATCTACAATGACCTGCTGATAAGTCAGAATTTAACACGAGGCTCAGTTTATCTCAGACAACGACAGGCCTTCTGCTCCACCCTCTGCAGTTTACACATATTCAATAACTGCTGTGGAAGTTTAGCTTCATCAAATGATGCATGGATGGATCCCATTGGCCCATTTACAGCTCGTTTCTATAAATCTATAAATATGGAGTGTTTGATAGAGTTGTATGTGTAGACAGTAGTAAGTATGATTACAGTAATGTCCACAGATACCAGTTTGGAGACGCTCACTCGGCATGTTTCCACGCTCTTCCGCGTTGTCATGGACACAGGTTTACCGGTGGAAATGTCAAACGCAGAGACCCGCTACGACTGAAGCAGTCACAACTGAGTTATTTCTACAGTCAGTTTTAGGCGTCTGCTCTTATCGATATAATTCCAGGTCTGCACATCGATAACAGAATTTTGACGTGTTGCAGTCTTTGAATAATGGAGATGTGAGAGTTCAGAAGACTCTGGGGTAAATAAGGTGATGGAAACAACTGCTGATTGATCAGTCTGAACCCATAATTGAATCAGATACAGCGACCTAAAAGTCCACAAAAATCCCTGTTTGATGTTTCGGTAATGCCCTAACCCACCAGCAGGAACAAGACCCAATGCTAGAACATAATAATATACATTATTATTATGAAGCCACTTTATTCGGTTGCATCCTGAACATTAAATGCAGTTTTAGTGGTTTAATGTTCTGCTTGATTTCTCAGAGATGTCCGTGTGTTGGACGTCTCTGACATGTTTATTTATAAACAGGCTTGGGACAGATTTCTCAAATATTTGTGTTTCCTTGTGTTCTTCTGCTCTAATGACAAACAAGGATTTATAATAACAGGTCAGAGTAAATGTCAGTGTGGACCTGGCCTGTTTGTGCCACACTTCTGTGAACAGTTATTTATCATAACAGCCATAAAAGACACAAACACGCCCAAACTATGACAAAGACATCAAAAGAAATCTGAGCTCTTCTGACTGAAACAAGCTCCAAGCCTTGCTCCTGTCTCTTTAAGGCCTACTTTCTTCTGATTGACCGACATCTGGAAGCCTGCCGAAGGACAGCACCCGGGTCTCGTGAGCTGTCTGCGCAGGTGGACCTGCACTTGGTGTAGCAGACAGACAAAAACTTCCTTATTTACCCCAGAAAACTTCAGATAGACTCAAAATAACCAGAAGGAGACACAAAGTCTCAGAACACCTTCAAAAATGAAATGAACAGAGAGAGCGCAGACGGCGAGCTGCTGCCAGGTTTCATAGGAAGCGGGATTAAAGAAGCACGCGTCCACACGCTGCTGTGTTTCCTGTCAGAGTTACTGCATCGGAGCAGAGAACGGACACTGCAGACGCTCGAGTGAGAATGATATCAGAGTGCCGGGAACGTGAGCCGAGCTGTCGGGGTGGAGATGCCAGAAGGCGTTTTGTGCGGTGTGCTGCTCTGTGGACTCAAAGGTGACTAAAACACGACTTACCCCCTTCAGAGAGCGGCGAGCGGCATGAGGAGGTCAGAGAAACACAGAGTTAAATTCAGGAGATCAAAGACGGTACCGCTCCGGGCGCTCCGACTGAAGCTCCATCGACTTAAAGAGCGAGACGGCTGATCTGTAGGACCGCTCGTCTCTGTGGAGATCTCAGAAACATACTTACATGCTGGTGAGGAGGATGAGCCGAGAGTGGGGTGAAGAGGCGGGAAAGAAAAACAGAGAAACAGGGCAATGATATCACTGAGGAGGAGGAAGATGTTTAGACCTCACAAACACTTTTTTACACGTGAACAACGTCAGCCTCTTCACCACAGGTGGAGAACTCCAGGCCTCGAGGGCTGGTGTCCTGCAGGATTTAGATGTGTCCTTGATCCATCACAGCTGATTTAAACGGCTAAATGACCTCAACATGTCTTGAAGTTCTCCAGAAGCCTGATAATGAACTAATCATTTGATTCAGGTGTGTTGATACAGGGTGAGATCTAAAACGTGCTTTTCCCCGAGCTCACCACAGCGCCATGTTTTTTTCGTGAACTGCAGTAGAGCAGCTTTTAAGATCCAGGTGATTCATAGAAGTCCACCATCCTCTGCTTGGCCACTTTAGGAAGCCTGCCGAGGGGCAGCCCAGTCGAACAACGCGTTTATACTACAGCTGCCCTGTAATAATATCACATTACTGGTGTCTCTACATCATCTCCAATAAATACAACAGCAGTAAGGAAAGGCCTTTAATCATATTTTTAGTGACAAAATGTGAAGCTGATTATTATATTATTATTTCACTAAGATGCCAAATTACAGCTCATGTACTTGGATTCCTGAACAGAAAGACGAGTGTTCTTCAGCTGCTGGGAGGTCATTACTGAGGCCTGCAAACATCCAGGAACACCTCCGAGTTTCCAGGGAGCACAAAGATCTTTGTGGCAGCTGCATCCACAGCAGAGATCCCAGCATGGTTTGGAGGCGTGGGCAGGTTAGTGAAAATCAACGGTATCATGAACAAGAAGGTCGAGTGGAACACGTCCTGGAGCGGAAGTGACCGATCGTGGGCTCAAACACCAACAATCGTTAAAGCTGCGGGGACAATCTGACCAGGAGAAATGAGTGTGGAGCTAACGGACTCAAAGATCGATGGCTCAAAGGTTTCTTTGGAAGTAAAAAAAAAGCTTTGATGACGTTTCTTGGTTATCTTTCCATCATGGACAACCCCTGTCACCCCATGCACACCCCCATGATGGACCATCGGAGCAAACGCAGCAAAAGACTCATCGCCCCGAAATGCAGAACTGACTGCCACAGTAAATCCAATAAGACTGTTTATCTCTTCCTCACTCTGTAGGTGATTTTCCTGAGACTTACCAATGTTATTCTGTTCCCTCTCAGACCGTGCAACAGTACCTTGTTTCATCCCCCATCATACTCTGCTACTCCCTTTATTCTATTGCACATTACTGTCACTTTCTAGAATTGCCTGCACTGATAGTTCAGTTATTTATTCTCCAGGATAGAGTTATATATATTACTTCGTTAGAGTTATTTGATACTATGTCTTGCACTATCCTACTGCATATTACTGTACACTACTATTCTTATTGTATATATTGTATATATTGTATATATTGTATATCTTATTCATCTGTTCCTCTGTCTCTCCTGCTGCTCTGAGCATGTACATGACAAAAGAATAGGGATGGGTATCGTTTAGGTTTTATCCGATACCGGTGCCAAATCGGTACTTTTGAAACTGTGCCGGTGCTTAAACGGTGCTTAAAGAATGGAGAACACAAACTTTGTCCAAAAACCTCTCATGCTCAGCTGTTTTTTGTAAAAAGATAACAATGTTAGCCTTTTCTGCAGCTATGGGGCATATATGGTATCACTCTTGGCTGGAAGCTTAAACAATGGAAAAAACACCAACTTTGTCCAAAAACCTCTCATGTTTAACTGTTTCCCTCTTTTTCTTTGGTCATTTTAGCCTTTTTGGCCAGGGTGAAGGGAGTATCTGCCATCAAACAAGAAGACAGCCGCATGTAGCTACGATGATGTTTGCTAGTTCACCTTACATGCATTAATGTAATAACGTGGTTAGCCTACTCAACGTAAATTACACACGAACAACATTAAGCTACTCACGCAGAGAAGAACGGCTGCTGCTGCATCATCATCCTCATCATTTCTGCTACACTGGCAGGGCTAGGGGCCAGGACTCTCCTCTTCGTGTTTTTGGGGATGTTGCTAACTCCGGGTCCGATAACAGGCACCACACCCGCAGTAGATGTGCTCGGTGTGAGGTCTCGCAGCAAGCTATCAAATACGGTGCATTTCTCGGCTTTTTAAAAAAACGCTATGCGTCGCCAGGTGTTTCATCGGATTTGAGGTGTTACCTCCTTTGACAGTATCACAGTATCAGCTTAAAGCACTTGTTGCTGCTGAGTTTGCATATTTTGCTGTGAAGTACAGCCAGACTTTGACCGCTTCGCCTTGGACATTTTTAATCTGTAGCTCTGCTCTAAAAGAACGTACGTACCTGGACCCGCCTACTATCCTCGGAAACGTAAAATGATTGGCTAGAAGTGTATCACAGCTCAGAAATAAAGCACCGAAATGTGCGCTGCTTTTCGGTCTGGTTACTACCGTTTATGTCAGAACCGACACCGGTACCCATCCCTACAAAAGAATTTCCCTCGGGATAAATAAAGTCATTCTTATTCTTATTATCTGTGAATAAGCACTGTTAGCTGCTCTGTGCTCTTGTTTGTGTGACCAGAAGGGGGGCACATACCTCGGCAGGAAGCAAGTGAAAATCCCCTGCATGCAAAAACATTTTAATACTGGTGATTGTATAATCTCTTCTAAGGCAGCTATAAGGCACCTGCCCCCCAGCTGCCCCCCTGTAGAGCCACCCCTGGTGACCTGGCTACTTTGTCCCACATTTACGTCTAATATGAAAATTCAACATATTTAACAGGGAAACAGCTTTTTTTTTCATATTCACAAAAATCTTCCTGACATTTGGGGCTTTGCTGTTTCCTCCACAGTTAATTAACCACCCGCTCTCATCCAGCCGTGATTTTACGGCATGACAGAAGCACGCAGGTGTCCTCACAAGAAATCTGTTTGAATGAATAAAAGCGGTTTTATTTATTTTCATTTAATTCATGAAATGAATAATAATTGTATTTCAGCGCACAGTTTAAATCGGCCTTGTTTCCTCCTCTCGGAGCAGCACCGAGGCGAGCGTTTACGCGGCTGCAGGAACATCCATCAGCGAAGCGCCGAAGCCTCCAGATCGTTACCTGAAGCGCGAGCGCTCCTCGGCTCGCGATGCCGTGCTATGGATTATTGATTTTTGATTTGCTGGCCGCTCGAGCTGAGGGCCTTTTTATCAGAGCCATTACCTCCTTAACGATCAGAGACAAAAGTTAATTATGTAATTATGGAGCCAATAAGTGACGTGTCTGCTCCGCTTTGTGCTGCTGAGGCTGAAACATTATCTCCTGTGTGCACCTGATCGGCAGCGGCGGGCGGAGGCAGCAGATTAACGCTCACACAGGCAGATGCTAAATTGAATTCTCTGGACCCACGGCTGTCTGGGAAGCCATTAAGTAATCTCAACATTGGCCCTCTTGAATCACTCCGCCGTGCACACAGAGCGGCGGCGGCGTGCGCACGCTCTCTTTTATTGACTGTGAAAGAAAAGAAACAAACACGCGCCGCAAGCATTTACGAGGGAATGAAGTGGGAACAATCTGCTGACACAAATATGGGTTATTCTCCCTCTCGTTGCTCCGTCTGTGGCCTTGGAGTTTATAACTCGTCTAGTTAAATGACGGCTTTAACTCTTCTGATTCGGAGGATTGTGATTGGCTCCTGTGGTTTGGAGGACTCTGCTCTTCAACTGCCCTCAAAGTAATCGAGTATTTTTCAGTTCAGCTTTGGGACTTATTCTAAAGTTTTCCAGCTTTACATGAGGATGTTTAGTGCCACGGTGTGATATCCATCCCGTCCATGCAGGTCCAGTAAAACCTGCAGGAAGCGAGTGAACACGCCCTCTGCAGAGGGAGCCCGGTGAGGTCACAGGGTTACTTAAACCACTCCTCGGTGGCGGGGTCTCCGTGGTGGTCCACCTAGACTGCTCTGGGTCACGTCTCTGCTCCATCACCTAGATGTCAGGCCCGGCGGAGTCAGTGAAGGGGTGGAGGCTCTTTGCTTCATCAGGTGGTGATCTCCAGCTCACAGTGGGACAGTCTGCAGCTAAGCCTCTCCACCCCCCAACCGCCCTTCTGGTCCTCAGCTGGATCGTCCTTCCCACCCTCGCCTCTGACCACCACAGTGATGAGCTTCCTGTGGAGGGTGGCTGGGCTCAGCCTTGGCGGAGGGAGAGGCCACACCTCCCCAAATCTGATTCTTCCTGCGGTTTCTTCCTGTTAAAGGGAGTTTTTCCTTCCCGCTGTCACCAAGTGCTTGCTCGCAGGGGGTCATGTGATTGGTGGTTTTCTGTATTATTGTCGGGTCTTTACCTTGCAATATAAAGCACGTCAAGGTGACGGTTAAAACTGAGTTGAGTGATTCCCACAGGCTGTCAGCGAGTGCAGATTACATTTAGGCGATAACACTTTACAATGAAGTAAGGACTTCCTGTTTTATAGCTGAACGCAGCTCAGGTATCAGGAGGTTATCATTATCTACGTCTCTGTGCTGATTTGTTTTCTTATTGAGGAATCACTTTTCAAATCTGCGACTGGTGTTTTGAGATGAATTAAACTCTTAAAAACTGCTGTAAAAACTGACCTTAGGGCTTAAATTAAACCAAATTAAAGAGCGAGCTTTCCTCGGTGAGCTGCAGCAGAAGCAGGAGGAGGGTGACGGCTGAAAAACGCCAGCCTGTTTGCCACTCGTCAGCAGGTTAACGCTCTGAACTTCACACACGATGCAGTAATTGGAGGGGAAAGGCCTCATGGGGCGTCCACTGAACTGGAGGTTAAGGGAGAGCGCGAGAGATTTAACTGGATAGTCATAAAGCCCCTGCAGGCTTGGCAGGAAGGAGAGAGAGCAGTACAGCTGCAGTGAGGCGCTGATATGTGAGAGAAGCAGAGGCCTTTATTTTGGCGGTTTAGGCTGATGTATTATTGGCAGACTGACACTGATTCTCCTGTACACGTGCGCTTCAGTTCAGCCCTGATAGTTTCTTAGATTAATCTTCAATGTGCAGTTTATAAACAACATCAGTCCTGAGCGCTGCACACACACCAAACACACACTCACTGATCTGACGTTGACGTCGGCTCCAGAGTGAAGCATCATGTCCACGGCATCCTCACGGCCGTGCCTGGCTGCCCAGTGAAGCGCCGTCTGAAAACACACACACGTCTGGTTTACTATCTTTGTGGGGACATTACATTGACATAATGCTTTCCCTAACCCGTACCCTAAACCTAACCATATCCTAATTGTAACCCTGACACTAAAACCACATTTTGAGTCTCAGAAAAGTCTTCAAACTCATGGGGACAGCACTTTGTCCCCATAATGACTGTTTGTCCTAGGGATGGGTATTGATAAGATTTTCATGATTCCGATTCCATTTTCGATTCTGTTTAACGATTCGATTCTTTATCGATTCTTTTAAAAAAAGAGGAGAACACTAAGTTCAATTAGCTTAGAACTTTGTTTTATATCTTCTCTTTGGACAAGACAGACATTTAGGAGTAACATGGCCTTACAAACCCAACAGTGAGATCTCAAGAGATCCAGCCTACGGCTCTTCAATGGGGTGTCACAGGGTCCCCAGGAAAAAAAATTGTAAATGTAAAATAATAAAATAAATATTCTTCTGTAGCAATAACAAAGTATAACATAAATTATTCTGTAGCAATTACACAAGAATATCCAGTAATGTCCCTGCCTACAATTACACACATTCACTTACTGAAAATCATCTGCTGTGGCAAACGGGTGCAAGCCTTTGACCACAAACTGAGTCACTGCTCGGTGACATTCGTCTATCCTGCCTGAAAGGAGACGCTACCGGCAGACTGCAGCGAGAACTGCCAGCATCTGAGCCAGACTCTGTCTCATCATGGTCACTAAATGCACAGTAATGGCAGGTTTGTAATAAGGCAGATTGCGCTAACATAATATGCTGTTAGTTGATTATTTACCTGCCGCATTAACGGGAGAGGACGTGCAAACGTTACCGCTGCTGTTGGGTTGAGATTCACGAGTCCGGAGCGAATTAAAAACACGACATTCTGTCATGGTCCGCGGCCCGGCGTCCGGGGTGCTGCTGGGATGTCCACGCCCACGAGCGTGGCTGCTAACCCCACACCTGCATCCCATCCCAGGCGATCACCAGGTGGACTATTTAATCCTGCCCTACCTGCTGCTCCACGCCAGTCCGTAGTCGCCTCTCAGCGGTAACGTACGCCTGCGGGAAAAGAACTCGTATGACAAACTCTCCATCGGACCTAACACTGTTTTTTTTTCCCTGTGTACCCAGATCACAACTCGGCGTGTTTTTGTTTTCGAGCCACCTGCCTGTCCACCTGTCCGCCTGAGATTTGGTTCACATTCAGCTTCACCGTCTCGACCCCTTTTGGAGCTCCACCCCCCTCTGGTTCACTCGGCCCGGCTATCACCCCTCTCACAGCCCCGCTCTCGGCGTTCCCTGTGCGGTCCCTCGGTTTCTTCTGGTTTCATACGTTGTTTTTCTGGCTACCCTCACGGGACACCTTTAGTTGCAATAAAAATTACTTTCTTTATTCGCTCCTACCCTAGTGTGTGTGTTCTGCTACTGGGTCCTGCCTACGCTCGGAACTTCGGTTCATGACACATTCATTTAAGGTCATCGCGTGTTTTGTGAGCAAACGCTTTTGCATATTCGTAGTGTTTCCTCCCTTAAATGAAATATCTACTTTGCAAGTATTGCAAGTTGCCCTGTTGTCATCCGTTCTCGTAAAGTGTAACCAAACTTTTGAGTGTTAGGCGCCGTGTTTCCTGCCAGGTAAATGACGCTCCGCAACATGGTGACGTCATTCGGGGCGACTGGAATCGATAAGGGAATCGTTTGCAAAAATGGCAAACGATTCCAAGGAACTGAAACAGTAGGAACCGGTTCTCAACAAGAACCGGGTTTCGATACCCATCCCTAGTTTGTCCCCACAAGTATTGTGGCATGACAATTTTCTGTCCTCACAAAACTATCTAAACATGCACACACACACACACACACACACACACACACACGCACGCACACACACACGCACACACACACACTGTGAAAGTCTGATGATTTTCAGTTTGAGCAAGCTCTTCTATTTCCACCTCCCCCTTCCTGATCCTGGCTCTCTTCCTGCTAAAAAGCAGTTCTTCCTTCCCACTGTCACCAAGTGCTGCTCGTACATTGTAGTTGGAATTTTCTAATAAAATCGCTGTTGGGTCCATTTTCTGCTACATAACGTCTAACCGCCTTTCAGAAACCCAAGGTCACCTTACAAAGAACACAATTAATAAAAGGAACAGTAGTCATAAAATACATCAAATAAGTTAAAATTACAAAACAGAGCGTGACAACAGATAAAATCAGCATTAAAGCGAATAAGCCAGTTTAAACAGATGTGTTTTGAGCTGTGTCTTAAGTACAGAGAGGGAGTCAATATTTCTTAGTGCAGGAGGAAGAGAGTTCGAGAGCCGAGGAGCAGAGCGACTGAAAGCTCTGCTCCCCACAGTGATGAAGTGTGAGGATGGAACGGTAAGATGATGATCTGAGAGGGCGGGAAACAGTGGTGATATGGAGCAGGTCACACAAATATGCAGGAGCAGATTTATGGACACACTTGTATGTAAGAAGTAAGATTTTAAAGTTTATCCTGGTTTCTACGGACAACCAGTGAAGCTGCTGAAGAACTGGGGTAATATGAGCTCTTGACGGAGTGCAAGTTATGACCCGAGCTGCAGAGTTTTGAAGAAGTTGGAGTTTATGAAGGGACTTTTTAGGGAGAGCAAATAGGAGGAATTAGTAGAGTCCATGTGCGTAAACTGGTGGCACAGCTGTGGATGCATATAAGGCAAAACACAGAGCCTGTTTCTGTGACATGGGAACATCAAGAGATGTCAACAAAACACCAGGAACAGAACTGTGGAGCTCCATAAGTGTGGCTCAGTTTGAATACAATTTGGTGCCATTTACAATTAAGAAATACAGACAGTTTCTCTCTTTACTCTTAAAGTTAACAAATATGTTTTTATATTTATCTAAAAAAATAAACATTTAGTCTGATTTGATGTTACAATTAAAAAAGTGTTTTGATCTGAAGAGTTTGTAAATATCTGGTTTCCACTGTATATTTGATGATTGTCAGCACAAAGAGGGAGAGAGAGGAGCAGAGAGAGAGAGGAACAGAGAGGGAGAGAGAGGAACAGAGAGGGAGAGAGAGGAACAGAGAGAGAGAGGAACAGAGAGGGAGAGGAACAGAGAGAGAGAGAGGAGCAGAGAGAGAGAGGAACAGAGAGGGAGAGGAACAGAGAGAGAGGGGAACAGAGAGGGAGAGGAACAGAGAGGGAGAGAGAGGAACAGAGAGGGAGAGGAACAGAGAGGGAGAGGAACAGAGAGAGAGAGAGGAACAGAGAGAGAGAGAGAGGAGCAGAGAGGGAGAGAGGAACAGAGAGGGAGAGGAACAGAGAGGGAGAGAGAGGAACAGAGAGAGAGAGGAACAGAGAGGGAGAGGAACAGAGAGAGAGAGGAACAGAGAGGGGGAGAGAGGAACAGAGAGAGAGAGGAACAGAGAGGGAGAGGAACAGAGAGAGAGAGAGGAACAGAGAGAGAGAGAGAGGAACAGAGAGGGAGAGAGGAACAGAGAGAGAGAGGAACAGAGAGGGAGAGGAACAGAGAGAGAGAGGAACAGAGAGAGAGAGAGGAACAGAGAGGGAGAGAGAGGAACAGAGAGAGAGAGGAACAGAGAGGGAGAGGAACAGAGAGAGAGAGAGGAACAGAGAGAGACAGGAACAGAGAGAGAGAGGAACAGAGAGGGAGAGGAACAGAGAGGGAGAGAGAGGAACAGAGAGAGAGAGGAACAGAGAGAGGGAGAGAGGAACAGAGAGAGAGAGGAACAGAGAGGGAGAGGAACAGAGAGGGAGAGAGGAACAGAGAGAGAGAGGAACAGAGAGGGAGAGGAACAGAGAGAGAGAGAGGAACAGAGAGGGAGAGAGAGGAACAGAGAGAGAGAGGAACAGAGAGGGAGAGGAACAGAGAGAGAGAGGAACAGAGAGGGAGAGGAACAGAGAGAGAGAGAGAGAGAGAGAACAGAGAGGGAGAGGAAAGGAGGGAGAGAGAGGAAAGAGAGAGAGGAACAGAGAGGGAGAGGAACAGAGAGGGAGAGGAACAGAGAGAGAGAGAGGAACAGAGAGAGAGAGAGAGGAGCAGAGAGGGAGAGAGGAACAGAGAGGGAGAGAGAGGAACAGAGAGAGAGAGGAACAGAGAGGGAGAGGAACAGAGAGGGAGAGGAACAGAGAGGGAGAGAGGAACAGAGAGAGAGAGGAACAGAGAGGGAGAGGAACAGAGAGAGAGAGGAACAGCGAGGGAGAGGAACAGAGAGGGAGAGGAACAGAGAGAGAGAGAGGAACAGAGAGAGAGAGAGAGAGGAGCAGAGAGGGAGAGAGGAACAGAGAGGGGGAGAGAGGAACAGAGAGAGAGAGGAACAGAGAGAGAGAGGAACAGAGAGGGAGAGAGGAACAGAGAGGGAGAGGAACAGAGAGGGAGAGAGGAACAGAGAGGGAGAGGAACAGAGAGGGAGAGGAACAGAGAGAGAGAGGAACAGAGAGGGAGAGAGGAACAGAGAGGGAGAGAGAGGAACAGAGAGAGAGAGGAACAGAGAGGGAGAGGAACAGAGAGAGAGAGGAACAGAGAGGGAGAGAGAGGAACAGAGAGAGAGAGGAACAGAGAGGGAGAGGAACAGAGAGGGAGAGAGGAACAGAGAGGGAGAGGAACAGAGAGGGAGAGGAACAGAGAGAGAGAGGAACAGAGAGGGAGAGAGGAACAGAGAGGGAGAGAGAGGAACAGAGAGAGAGAGGAACAGAGAGGGAGAGGAACAGAGAGAGAGAGGAACAGAGAGAGAGAGAGGAACAGAGAGAGAGAGGAACAGAGAGGGAGAGGAACAGAGAGGGAGAGGAACAGAGAGAGAGAGAGGAACAGAGAGAGAGAGAGAGGAGCAGAGAGGGAGAGAGGAACAGAGAGGGAGAGAGAGGAACAGAGAGAGAGAGGAACAGAGAGGGAGAGGAACAGAGAGGGAGAGAGGAACAGAGAGGGAGAGGAACAGAGAGGGAGAGGAACAGAGAGAGAGAGGAACAGCGAGGGA